TACCTACATTGGGCCCCAAAGTCTACAAATATGACCTACATTGGGCTATTTGGAGCCTTAGGGTCATGCTCCTGAATATACCTATTTCGGCCCTAGCCCTTGAAGACCACTCCCTAAACTCGAAACGTTACGTAAAGCCTCAAGCCTATAATCCCTAAACCCTATACATCATCGCCTTAACACCTCAGCCCTTACACCCTAAACCTTGACCCTAAACCCTATCTATCTATCTATCTATATATCTATCTATTTATCTATTCATCTTTATATATATATATATATCTCTCTCTCTCTCTCTCCCCTTATCGCCCCCTTGAATTTGCTCCAGAAGGACAGCTCCGCTGCGTGGCACGGCAGAAGCTTAGCCCCGGCACGGTCTTGGGCTATGCAGGCCGGGGAAGATGTAAGGGGACCTCGTAGCCCTGGGGTTTAGGGTTTAGGGTTTGGGGCTTAGGGTTTGGGGCTTCCTGAACCCCAAAAGTATGTAGAATAATGGCCTCCTGGGCTATATTTAGGGGGTTTGGTGCTATTAACTTACTTTCTTTTGGGGTTCAGGTTAAGGTTTAGTGTAATGTGTAAGCTTTTTTGGGGGATAGCACTACACTTGGTTGGTCGGGTATTCATTTACCTTAGTTTGTCCTTGTGCTCCCAATACGGGCTTCGTGGACACGAAACACTACTCCGACCATTCTGTTCCGTACAAGGGTTTAGGGTTGAAGCACTTGGAGGGGCAGCTGACTTATAACCTACTTATAACTGACTGTCCTTAAAAGACCAATGTACATGTCCCCGAGGACCTCCTACAGAGGGTTCTCATTGAGATTTCGTTGCAATCGTAAGTGGTTGGTTATCAGTGCTATACCCCTCAAAGCAGGTGAGGGTTTGTGTTTATCATGCATAAGTGAGGGTTCGGGCCAAGTATGCGGTCCACGGCCCTTGGCCAAAACACACAAAACACCCCCTGCATAATTCTCTAGAGCATCCCAACCTAGACCCTGTAACCCCTGCACAGGTTCCTAAATAACCTTCTAAGTCTCTATAACCCTTTTAAACCCTAAACCCTGAACCTCAAAACTCCCGTTTATTCCCTATAACACCATTTCAGGGAAGATACATCCCCTACATAATTGCTTTTGGGAGAGTGAAGACTTTGCGGGGTTAGGGTGTAGGGTTTTATGGTTCAGGGCTTAGGTCTCAGGGGTAATGGTTTGGGGCTTAGGTTTCGGGGTTCAGGGTTTAAGGTCTAGGGGTTTCGGGTTCAAAGTTTAGGGGTTTGGGTTTCAAGGTTTAGGGGTTTAGGGGGGTTTAGAGGCCCAGCCCTGTGCATTGAGGCAGACCCCAAATCTCAGAAACCTGATACTCGGGACCAAACACATTCAGCTGCAAGGAAGCACTACCTGGTGCAGAGTCGGGAATGAGGGATTAGGGATTAGGGTTTCGGGACTAGGGTTTCGGGTTTAGGGATTAGGGTTTAGGGTTTAGGGATTGGGGGTTTAGGGTTTAGGAATAGATTAGATCATTCCCCCCTTACAGTAGCTGTTAACACAAAGGGTAATGGAGTTATAATCGTCCCCTGAATACAGCCCGTTTAAGGAGCTACCCTAAACCCTAAACCCAACCCTAAACCCTAAACCTAAACCCTAAACCACCCTAAACCCTAATCCCTAAACCCCATTTAAGGACAGCTGGGAGGGGAATCACCCGAGGAATAGATTCATATGAACTCTAATCTAAACTCCTTAAAGGGGGGTATATAGGGGATTATATAGGGGACTACGTACTATATGGGGTTATTAAGGGGGATAGTAGGAGTTTAGACTATATGCCTCATATGGTTGTTCCCGCATGGTGCTTTGCAAAACGTTTCTCTATGATATTTCCCAAAGGGACCCTCAACATCGGCTAGCTAGTCATCCTTCTATGTCCGTGGGAGCCCAAGAAGCACCCAAGGGTAAGGAACCCCCTTCCGATTTGCTAGGGTTTACCCAGGGATCAGGGTTTAGGGATTAGGGTTTAGGGTTCCATTGTTCGGACTGATAGCGGTCCTGGAAAGCCTTCCCCTCAGGAGCCCTGCATGACCCTTTGCGCAGGCGAGTTGTACCAAAGCGAAGCCGACCATGCCAAATATTCGTACCTCGTCTCTTGTTAGAATTCTCTGGTCTCAGCTGCTCACGAACCGGAGCCTAAGATTCCAAGGTTGCAGCAAGTACTAGTTAGATGGATCTTCATGGATTCTCAAGGGCTTTGGGTTTTGTTCTGCTCCTCAACAGTCTTCATGAATATAACCCCAATATAATCCCTATACACTATAGTAGTTTCCATTCTAATTTTCCATTATCCCAAAATGACCCCAATATATACCCTATATAATCACCCCTATATAATCTTTCCATTTTATTTTCCATTATCCGAAAATAGCCTCTGAAACCGTGGCACACCGGCTAAAAGCCTCTGTGATTGCAGGGGACCCGAGATGATGTCTCAGCAGCGCTGGCTTTTCAGTGAGCCCACTAAGAGCGCCAAGGCAAACGTGCAAATGGTAGATCCAGGTAAAATTTTGCAACCCTAAACCCTCCTAAACCCTGAACCCTAGACCCTAAGCCCTTAAAGCTGTCATTGAAAGCTACCAGAACCCCAAAAGTAGGTAAGACAACAGCCTAAAAGTAGCCCAGAAGGCCATTATTCTACATACTGTTGGGGTTCAGGTAGCTTCTTTGAGACTGCACGTTTGCATCACACATCTAGTCACCAACCTCCCCGACTCTCAGCCACACTCGCGTTTGAAAAGCTTTTGCGGTCCCTTCCCCTAAGGGCCCAAGGACCTAAATAATAGGGTTTTAGAGCCTAAATACCACTAATATTACAGTATTTGGGCCCTAAAGCCCTGTTATTGGGGTCCTTGGACCTTTATACAGCCCCCATATATCCCTACATATCCCCTAGAATCCCTTTAAAGGGACCCTAGTATTTGGGTCCTTGGACCCTTAGGGTTCTCTTTCAATCTCACTCACTTCCTCACCTGAGTAGTATTTTATTTGGGGATACTAGGGCAATATTACCCCAATAATGGAGAATCAAATGGGAAAGAAAATGGAAAATGACATGGAAGCCGGGATTATATAGGGGTTATATTATATTATAGCTCTAGACTTTTTATTTGGGGATACTATGGTAACCAATATAGAGTAAGATTCTATCCTCCTTTTGGGTTATAGTATTTTATGTAAGGAATATTATCTTACTAGGTTCAACCACAAAAAAAATACTACTCACCTGAACCTTACATTAACCCCAAAAGTAGGTGAACAAATAGCCCAAGACCCCTAAAGATAGCCTGGAAGGCCATTATGCTACATACTTTCGGAGTTCAGGTAAACCCTACTGAAGCAATCTCAGGTCCTCTTATTCACTGCTGTGTCCAAACGGCATGGTGGTAGATGGAGCGCGCTACTGCAACGAGGCATCGTGACTCTCTGACGTTGGCTCTAAGGTTCCTAATATGGCTATCCTTGGGTTGTAGGATGTAGGGTTTTTAGGGTTTAGGGTTTAGGTTCGGGGTTTAGGGTTTAGGGCTATGACTGGGTTAGAGTGACCCTGAACCTCCGAGTAGGGTTTCCCAGGGAGATCCTTTCTGCGAATTACATCCGCACAAAAATATGGTGACCCTAGACCCCGCCAACCCTAAACTTTTTCACGCCTCGTTCGCGGCACTAAGGTTGAGACTTCAGCAGACCGCTTGGGTTTAGGATTTAAGGCTTCATAAGTTTATAAGCCCAAACCAAGAGCCATCTTCATGGCATCTATCAGTGAAGTTATCTCGCAGCAGTGGCAAAGCAGCGCAGGGCTTCACGCGCAGGATCATGGGATTTACTAATTGCTGATAACTGGACTTATAACTAACCTTGCTTGTAGTTGGGGTAGCCTACAGAACTCCAGTTAGGGAGGGTATAGGCAGGGTTCCAAGGCCAGTTTTATGTAGTTCCTAAGTCCCATGGACCTAAACAATAAACCCTAAACGCTAAACCTTTACCGCGTAGCTCAAGGGTTTAGGGTTCAGCCATCTTGTCGGCTCAGGTACGTCACCCAAAACCCAGGTGGGTGCTTTGGGAGTAGTGGTAGAGAAGCAGTTTTTTGAAAAATGGAAGCTAGGATTATTAGGTGCTTATAAAGCTTTCAAAGCGAAAATTGGAAAATGAATGGTCGCCGGGATGTTTTGGGTGTATAGGGCGGTGTTTTGTTGTTCATCTTCCCCGATGGAGAGTACGTTTATCTGGGCTGATTCACAAGTGTATTCTGATCATGGGCCTAAGGGACTTCCAGTGATAGTTACCCTAAACCTTAAACCCTGGTTTGAAAAAGCTCCCTACGTCCTGGGGTTCGCCCTATCTACCTGCGCCCCCCCACCCGGCTGCACTATCCCCCGCCCAGAGGTTTAGGGTTTAGGGCCATCCTTGGGGGCTTCATTACTTGGAGGGTCAGGCGCACATTAGCAAGTAGGTTAATCCTAAGGATAACTGGGTTGTTCTGTGGATTAAAGAGGTTCTAAGTGTACTTACTGAGCCTGACCCTCTAAGCAGGGAAACCCATACCCAGATCCCTGGGAGGATCTAAAGATTAGATCCCCCCATATAGACCCATTATAACCCCTATATAACCCTTATATAATTTCCCATATGGTTCTAGGGGATCTAATTTATAGATCCCTTTGGGGGTCTGGGTAACCATTCCGTAGGAGCATCCCTTACCCTGTAATAGTGATAAAATAGGAATAGAATAGGACCCTAGCATCTAGGGGTTATATTAGGATAATGGAAAAGAAAATGGAAGCTACAATAATGGAGAATCAAATGGAAAAGAAAATGGAAAATAAAATGGAAACTAGGGAATATATAGGGATTATCCCTTATAGCCACAATTGCACTGTGGGGAGTCCACCTCAAGTAGACCCTGCCCTAAGCCCTTAGCCCTAAACCCTAAACCTCCTGAACCATGCCACTGAGGTTTGTGAACCACTACGTGGGGATCGCTGATTCTCCAAACTGTACCCTCGGCGCCACAGGTGACCACGTGGCAGCCATCGAGGTCACCAAGCTGATAGGCCTGTGTGTTAGGGTTTAGGGTTTGGTGGGGGTGTACTTGGAGGGTCAGGGGGACTTTGTAAGTAGGTTAATTGTAAACGCTA